AAAAAACAAAGCATCCTGGGCCACGGAGAACGCGTGTTATCAGCACCTTGGTTCTTGGCTAGGTTAAGCTGTGGTGTGAGCCCAGCCTGATCTGACAGACCTGCCCATGGATGGCAAAACCACTGAAAATTGCCCCAGTTCCAACGTGTGAGCAGCCCGGATTGGTGCAGCTAATACCACTTCCAGGTATTTGACCACAGCAATTACGTGTCTCTGCTTAGGATGGCTGTTTCTTCTTATTCCGTGAACTGAATCTCCCTGCTACCAGCCATACAATTTAAAAAAAAAAAATCAACAACCAAAAACAAAAACCAAGAGTAACCCACAATGGTTAAAAAGGAAAACAAAAAAAGGTGGGTTTTACCCACACATGTAACCACATTGCTGACCAAAGGCAGAGAGGATCTGTGGTGATCAGGTAGCAGCAATGCTGGGCTCTTACCCTGACACTAACACCATCATTTGTAATTGGTCGTAAAACTGAGTTGCTTCTCAGGCTACTAAAAAAAATCCTTTCTCATTCAGCATCACCAAAATGACATTTATCTTATTCAGGATTTTACCATTGCCATCCCCTTTCAACACAGAGCAGTCAGCAACAGCAGCACATAAATTTTTATGCCTGCCCGTTACAAGGCGTTGCATAAAAAGAGTGAGGGTGTAGATGATAAAATTGATGTGAAGGTTTTTACCATGCTCTACCAAAAGACCGAGTAATTCGAAGCAGGTGGTAATGGAAGGTTCCTGTCTCTCTGCCTCCTGTGCAGAGCTTGGCTCCTGGAATCTCCCACAAAGCTGGCTTGTGCCTGCACGATAAAGTCATTCACTCACTGCTGAGGAGCCTGCTAATAAAAAGGGGAGAAACAAAGATTGCCAGATGTCGGTGTATCAAATAATCAATACTGCATTTCTTTTTTCCTTATTCACAAGCAATAGAGTGGCAGATAAGGATATATACCAATCACAGACACAGTGTTTAATAAAAACTCATGGTCTTTGTCACTCTGGGCAGGTTTCTGCTACATTTTATAGGTCACGGTCCATGAAATTTCATAGGAACTTTCATATATATTCTCTGTAGCAGAGTATGACATTTATTTGTTATTAAACCATATAATTTAGGGAGGATGAAGAAGCTTTATACAAAGTAACATGCGAGGTACTCTTTCATACAATGATTTCTCTCTAATGTATCTGTATTTTGGGATCTCTATATAATTCTGCAAGCTGCTTAATTTTTTTTTCTGATGGGAAATAATAAATGAATATGGTTTAATAATGGTTGTGCTATAAGAGGCCAGGATACTCATTAACTTTAAACTCAGATTACAACCTTTGCTTGTTTTTTCACCTGCTGACCTGGACTGTCAGTACAAAAAGCTGTCGTCTTTAACCATGGGAAACATAAGCAGCAGAGAGTTAATGGTGGTAAGAGTCAGTGCTGAGCATTGCATCCCGGTCCCAAACACCAGGGAAGTCAAGAGATAATGTTTGGTGGGTGCAGCTTTTATTAGTTTTTGCAGCCACAGGAAGAGATAAAGGTGAGTGGGAATCAGAGGCTGAGAAGGATCAAATTTGAGAAGAATAGCGTGGGGAAGTGCCTCTTTTTCTCCACTCCAGTGGTTTTGTAAGAGACTACACCTGCTTAGGTGATATAAATCACATATGTTCTTGATGTTTTGGTTGTAGTATATTGTCCCACAGGCCTGATACTTATATGGGACGTATAGGACCTGCTAGCTGTGTTTCATGTGTGTGTCTTTCATATATAAAAATCCTTTGGGGGACACTTGGGAGGCAGAAAGTGAAGAAGCGAAAGGAAGAGAAACACAGGAGAGAGGAGCAGAGTGGAATGATGGATCTGTATCACTACTCAGGACAGATTATAGTTATAAGCCATTGAAATTCCTGTTTTGCCACAGCTTCAGTGGTGACTTGGCAAGTTCTCCATGTCCATTGGTCCATGTAACAGGTAAGGTATTGCCCCATTTCAGCTCAGCAGTGAGCCCTGGAAGTGGTCAGGACTGCGTATCCACAGAGGTGGTCATTCTTGCAGCTGTGTGTGGTATATACCAGCTCGCGTGACTTCCAACTTCTCTTAGTGAAACCAGAGAAAACCCTGCAGTGTGAAAGCCCTCGGCACTTGTAACCTTACTGAAATATCTATTTTGGGAAAAAAAATTGTGGAGTTTTTTTAGCAGCAGAAAACATGTGAGGGTCTGCAGATAGCTGTAATAATTCGTGCTCACTCAAATCGCAAAGCATACCACTATCAAAATTTAATCTGGGCTCTTTGGAGCATAATCATATTTCACTCATTTTCCCTCATCCTTTTGCTTGAGATAAATGAACCCCGTCTGTGCCACCAACAACCCAGAATTCGTAAGCCAATATTTTACACACAGGACAAGTAATGTAGCAAGTAGCATTTTATGACCCATCTCTCATTCCCCTCCCTTCAAGAATTAATAGCATTTTCAGCATATGTCTCTATTTAAAGTTTGCTTACAGCTTTCATTTCAAAATGGGACGACAGCGGTCATTTTATCGCCCAGCACCCCTTTGTTCATCAGACACCATGCTCTGGCAAGAACAGTCTTCACTTGGCAGAGAACACCCCTGGCACGATACTTCTTGCACCAGGAGAACATCTGGCAAGTGACCAGCGTCACTGCTGAGCCGTGCTATGTCTTGGATTTTTATCCCTCCAAATTCATGCCTTTTGGCAAATCTGTTTGGATTAGCCGTTCACCTTTAGTGGCAGCGATTCCTCTTGCAGTGCTAGAGGTGCCCACCACCCAGTGGGAGAAAGAGGAAGTAGACAGATGTGGTTTATTTTTTGGCAGCTGGATTAGAAAGCGTGCAAGGCATATCTCCAAAAACAGATGGTTTTTCTGGATTGTCCTGGTCTTCTCTTGATCTTCTTACGGCTTCTATCCAAGTACATACCCCTTTCCTATAAAATCCCTGAAACAACTGTGTATTAGGAGCTGAGGTGGCTCTGTTGATACGGACTTCAGTGTTTAAGGTCATGCCTAGCAGCAATTGAGAAGGAGGCAGCCCAGTCCCTCTCAATGAGTCCCTAAATTGCACGGTGAGATGCCATGGAGTCAGTACAGCATGTCCATATTTGTAGATCACTATTTCCTCCAAATGACTACTCCTGCCGTCCTGTGGCCTGCATGACCCTTGCTTTCAACATCTCTCTCACTGCCTCATGAATCCTGTTGACTGGAAGTGCTGATGTGTGTGTCCCTCCAATGTTCCCCCCATGCTGAGCTCCAGCTATTGCAGGTTTTGTGATTATTGTATCCTGCCTTATCTTGAAGGCCTTGAGGCATCATATAGTATCATCTTCCTGCTTCGTCTAGCTTGGAGAAATGGGGAAAATAAACAGATGGAAAGATTCTTTAAGGGGTTTGTTTGAGGATTGTCATGGCAGTTCTTGACTGCTCGACTTTTGGTCATTTCCCAATCTTAATTTATACATGTAGAGATATAGTTCTTGCTAGTGTCAGTCTCAGTCCTGCTGATGCCAGTCAAATTGATTCTAAAAGATATTCTTCAGACTATATTTTTCTCAGAAAAAAAAAAAAAATTACCTCAATCCTTGCAGACTTGGACAGTCACCCCGAATCTTAGAAATAATACCTTGCATTTGATGTGGTTTTGATTATACATTTACCTATGCAATTCCCTACCCACACCATGTTTCTTACACACACACCCCTTTCTAAGCAATTATAGTCTAAATGAACCTAAATCCCTCATCTTAGTAAAAGTTATGACTTTCACAAGTTAAAGGTGAAATGTAGTTGGGTCCAATTCTGCTCTGTGCCAATGTATCCGTATACTTGTCTTATTGCATAAAAAACATAAGAAAAAGTCATATAAAATTTTGACATATATTTTGTTTGCTATTATGATTTGTCAGGTGTTTCATTACATCTTGGACACACGTAACTAAACAATTTCTAAAGAAAATGGACTATTTGCAGTCACCTGCTGGAGGCCTGCAGCCAACACTTCACACTGTTTGTCGAGATTTTTGCCATGGAAGCACAGGGAATGGTGGGGACTGGGGAGCCTGGGAGAGGGTGAGGGCTGATAGCTGCAATGGCTGTTTGAAGGCCATAAGAATGACTCAGGAGACTCAAACGTTTGGATATAGAGTTTCAGATTTCTGGGATGTGCTTAGGCTGTGCAAGGAGCAGAGCGAGGGCTTTGATCCCAAGCTGATCATCATGGGGGAGAAAAATCAGGAGTTAGCCCAAGACAGGAAAGCAGTCTGTTGGAAGGATATTCCTGTTGTAGCCTTGTTTCTCCCAGAGCAATATTTGCATAAATGTATATTGCAGTAAAGCTGTGTAGCATCTTAACAATATCGGAAGCACAGAAAAGACTATGAGACTTGAAACTAATCAACAGGTTTCCACATCTTTTTGCTGCAAGGGCCAGTAGCCCTAAAGAAACCCCACCAAAAATTCCATGTTTTGCAGAGATTTTTCCAAATAACAGGGATGAAGTTCCCTACCACATTTTATTGCAATCCTTCTACATAGCCAAACCTTATTTTGTTGGTTCAGTGGAATTAATCACGTATTCTCTATATGGAGTTCAGTAGAATTAATCACGTAGTCTTTATATGGATTTGCTATGAATGAGAAGGTAGATTAATATACAGGCAGACAGTGAATATTACAGTGAATAGTTTCCTGTTAACACAGAGCATCCCTGCGTCTCTTTGAGTAGACATGACTAGCTTAAAAGAACATCTTTCATCTGTGTAAATGCTTTACTGGGGGGCATGCAGATTGTTCTGAATAGAAATTTTTTTTCACAGAAACGGAGCTAAAAGGATAACACAAGTAATTGCATTCTCTAGTGCCTCCCAGTGCTTTACATGTTATCCTCTATGGAAAAAAAAAATCAGCTATTGGCAGCCTAGTGAATTTAGTAATTGTAACTAATGGGCTTGTTTCTTTTTGTCTGTGTTTTAGGATGGAATGGGGAACCTGAGAATCACGGAAAAGGGTCTAAAGCTCGAAGGAGATTCAGAATTCTTGAAACCTCTCTACGCCAAAGAAATCCGGTCAAGACCAGTAAGTTGTCAGAACAAAAATAAGCACATTTCTGTAGCTCTAACAGTAAAAAACCATGAAGTGGCAGGCTGGTGTGGTTATTGGATAAATTTCTTTGGCCACTCTCTATAAATGTAATTTGGCGAGTGAGACAGTGGGTGTCCTTGGGGTACCTCCTCCACATACTGTACCCTCTGGGACATTGCAAGGTTGATAGGCATGGATTCAGTTTGTACTTAAAATGCTTCCAGGACCTCTGAGATTTCACATTGTCTTTTTATCTCCTTTTGAGATAAATCATAAACAACCCTCAATTGAAAGACCTAATGTTTCCAAGGTAGAGGGAAGGCAGGCAGTTGTGAAATCCAGCTCACGTTTAACTACTTACTCCTTTTCTGCAGAGAGCAGAGAGGTGATGCCTTGGCACAAGCGCCTGATTTGTTGTTAGCTGGAACAATAAACCCATATTATGTGCTCAGTCCTATTTCATGTTGTGTTTTAAATTTATGTGCAGTTAAAATTCAGAGCTGCTAGGAGAGGCTGCTTGATAAAAGTGGCAAGGATGTTAACAACTGAAAATGAGAAAGAACCCAAGTGTGATTGAAATAGCATTTTCATAGCAGCACTTCATTGACTGTTGGTGACTTTTGCTCTTTCTAATGCAATCCTGTTTGTCCTGAGCAGCTTTAAAATAACTGAAACAATTATAGAGAGTTTCTAGGATCCTTCTCTGAAGATGTCATCTGTCTTGTTTCCTGATCCAAAGTGTTAATTTGAGTCAGATACCAACCTTCCATTTTGATAACAATGGCAGATAGCTAATTAAATAAAGTTAGCATCCCTTTATCTCAGCATTTCAGTGCTCTTGTAGAAATTGGAACTTGTAGCATAATCAACACAACAGCCAATATCCAATTTAATTATTGAAGGTTGTAACCACTGTAAGATGGCTAGGAATTGATTTGAACAAGCATAATCATTTTGGAAGAAAAGTTAATAAGAAAATGTTCATATCTATAAATGTTTTCATCCCTGAACTAAAACAGAACTGTAAAACCTTACATGCCTTACGCTTTGTAACGTAAAATGTGTAGGAAAGGTTCAGTACTGGGTTTGATAAATAGACCGACAAATTGCTCCTTACATTTGTTTTTCTTTAGTTAGATTGCTGGAAATAATATTTGATTACTTAGAGAACTGAGAACCACTTCTTGCTACTGGGGAGTTTACTGTTTTCATATTATCATATTGATCTACATTTTAATAGGGCAGGAGGGACAAAAGGTGTCCACTTCTTGAGGTTATGAAACTAGTTTCCACACCATTGACAGTTTAGTGAATGCAAGGAACAAGAAATATAAGGTAAGGCCTGTGTGTGTGTTCCTTGCTTTATCCTTCCCCCAGGATTATTTTTGCTGTCAGCTGGAGAAGGGTCTAGCTGCAAGCCAGAAGGTCTGATCTACAGCCCAGTGAGCTGGAGCATCCCTGTTGGCTTCAGTAGATGAGACCATGCGTATAGTTTCCCTGGCTTCTCAGTGGAGTTAAACTGGAATAGCCCGTGCTGGCTTTCAGGTTGCTCATGATCAATGCTGTATTTTTTTAAGGAACAGTAGTATGACCCAGTATTCTCTTGGAGGGAAACGTACCAGCAGTTCCTGAACTTGATGAATATTGCTGAAATAAAGTGCCAAACTCAGCACTCAGGAGTACAGATGAACATCCGTACTAATTCCATCGTAATCTTCTCTGGGTTTTCAGAAGCACATAAACAATAAATATGCAAAGTGTAACAGAAACAATATAACAAATAACGGTAGAGAGCATCCCAGAAATAAGCTGACATATATTTTTCATGTGTTTGATTAAACAACCTAAGAATTATGTGCAGTAATAGATAACGATTTTATATAAAGCTCAAAAGTCTTCCAGATGCTGGTTATTTATAGAAGGCCTTCATTGAAAAAACAAACAAAACAAAAAAACCCACAAATTTAATTTCACTATCATTCTGTGTAGCAGATGAAGGGGTCTTGGTGCTGTGTGGAAATGGCAGGGGAAGAATCACTTTCTGTTGCAGTCTCCCATCACCTCCATGGAGTGGGTTTTCCCACTCGTATGTCTCTGCGATGCTGGTCCCCACGCTGCCCTGCTGTGGGCAGAGCTGGACAATCCCTGCCCAAATATCTCCAAAACGTGAATTGTGATAATTATTGAAAACCTGAATTTGTCACTGGTGCCTCTTCTTCTCTGCTGCCTCTCTTAAGTCCCAAGAAGGTGGTAATTAAAAGTCCATACAGATTTGATTTCCTAGGAATTGTGCTTTCTGATTCAGAGATAGTTTTGGATTTCCACTTAAAAGTGGATTTCTTTTTCAAATTGATTTGGCAGGAAGGGAAGACCAAGGTTTAGAGAGGAGGAAAAGCCCTCAAATGTCTTCCCAAGACACTGGTGGTGTGGGAACCTCTGAGGTGCTGTAGTTTGTGCTTTAAGGAGCTGTAGTAGGTGCTGCTCCCTTCTGGACAGAGTAGTTGCATTTAGCTGTGCTCCTTTTGGAAGGTAACTCATTGCATCTGAAATTGCAACCAAGAACTAAATCTGTTGTGCTGTGGTGTGCAATTGATGACAACCCAACAAAGGCATCTTTCTGGGAGTCCCTTCAAAAATGTTAGCAGAAGGATTGGACCGATGTTATTTGGTCCCATTCTAGAGAAGTGGCCATTAAAATCACTGACATGAACTGGTTTCTTAAATCTGCTTCCAGACAGTTTCAGCATTACTGCTGACTCCTGTCTCAGGATTGACCCCCTGCCAGGCTTGCTTTCCTTTTCCTGCACCCATTCAAGAGTGACCCCCCTCAAATCCCTCTCTCTTCATGTAACGAGGGCTTCTCTTTCTGTTGTTTCCCCATCCTAGTCCTGGCTCAGTAATACTGGGCTTGTAGTGCCTCCTGGATGAGGAGCCTGTTTCCAAGCACCAGAGCTTGCAAATAAACATAACCTTGTTACTGCATGAGCCTAAGGTTTATCTGGAGATTAATGAACGGTAACTGGTGGTAGCAGTGTTTGCACCCTTGTAGTGTTGTTTGAAAGAAATGAGATGGATGCGTTCCCTTTTCTGGGAGTGTTCAGAGCGTCTTAAACTCCCAGCTGAACATATTGCACACTAAACAGTATTTTCCATGCCACTTGCATGGAACATGAGCATCTTGCTGCCTTTAATTAAGAAGTTAACTGGACCATGAAGTATTGCCTGTGTAAATAAAAGTGATTTGTACTTAGTCAAGAAGGTGCATTAGGAATCCTTGCGTTTCTTTACTTGCACATAAATTATGGAGATTATTAAAAATTGGAAGGGTCATCTATAAACCCATCTGTAGCTCAGCTGCACTGTCACTCTCAAAATGTAGCTGTCTTTCTAATTGTTGTAATTTATTGTGGACTATCATGTGAACCATCTGCTTGCTTATAAATCAGACAAACTTTGACTGAAAGTTGCACGCAGCAGCACAAATTGTTAATTTTATGTGCTGGAAAGCAATAGCAACAGTTTTGTGGTCTTCAGTCTTCATTGCCTTAATTTGAATAGAAAATTAAAGCTGAAAATTTTCCTGCCTTTGTTGAGAAGAGCTGTTAACAAGCAGGTTTCTTGAAATTTACAGTGAGCACAGATTTGGGTTTCTTAGTGCAGCTGGGGTGTTTTGAAGCTTGCCACATCCAGGCCTGTAAGTCACTTTAAAGGGGCAAGACAGAGAACAGGCTATGTGCACTTTCCATTCCAGTAACAGCAGAAATAAAATCCAGTGCTGTGATTATACAGGAAAATCAAGTGAATTACTTCTCTCAGGAGCTGTGTGACAACCAATGAGATGATAATCTCAGCTTTGGAAGCAGAGAAAGACATTGCCATGATAGGATTAGGATGGTTTTGCCCTTTCAATGTTCATTTCAAGTGCATAGATAGAAAAAATAAGCCTCAGTTTGCAAATGTTTACACCCAGGCTTAAATTTTCTTACCCCAAATCCTTTTAAAGACAAGAGTATGGATTTGCCTGACAAAGATTTTTTTGTGGCATAGAGCTCTTGACTTGGGGTCCTGCTGTTCATCTCTCCGTCAGCCTCTCATACTGATGGTGGGTCTGGGAACACAGATATAAACGTGGGCATCGACCTTTCTTGTCTGTCCTGTGCTACCTGGGGGAGCTCCGAGCTGTTCTGTTGCTGCAGAGGTAACAAGTGATGGCCAAATTCACTGAACAAATTTTGAGGAGGTTTTAAATGTCTTTTAAAAGTGATCTCATAGTGTATTTAGCAGGTTTCATGTTGAAGGTTTGCTTCCCATTATTTTTAATCAACCGAAAAAATAATTTAAAAGAAGAGTCCTATACATCAAAGAAAAAAGCCTGAGGCAAAGTACAATGTGGGTTTTTTTATTATTTTCCTGTCTTTGAATGATGCTAGAGGTCCCTGTCCTGCTCCCTGTGGCAATGAGTGTCTCACTGGGAAGCAGCGTGCTCATCCAGAGCATCGGAGCAAACCTGATCTTATTTGAAGCTGTATGAAATAACCAGTGACTACGGTGAAAAAGGACTGGGCCTCTCGTTAACACTTGGCTGGGATTCTGCAAGGGCATCTGTTTGGCCTGAAAAATTCACAGTTGTGAATTAGGGCTGATAACTGCTATTCCCTTTACTGATGTTTAGTAAGTTCTCATCAGCATAAAAGCTAGACTAGCAAGTGCATAAAATATGCTTGTCTGTACTTTACATTTTCCCCAGCCAGTATTTGAATGATAGAAATTTTAAAGGAAGCTTTTAAGAGTGATAAATAATTATTTTGCCAATGTACTTGTCTCACTGTGTTCAGATCTGGAAGAAGAGTGGTATAATTTTAAAGCGCAGAAGCAGTTCGGTAATGGACGTATTCTTTTGTGTTATTTGCTCTGCAGGTCTACCTGCCTCAAAGCTAAAAATATGCACTGAAAAACAATAAAGCATGTATTTGGATTAAACAATGACATGTGCC